ATATATATATATATAGGCTGCTGAGGGATACATTTGTGTTTACAGAAAAACTATGCAATCAATTATAAAATTCTATAGAATGCAACCTGTCTGTTTTTTTGGTTTGTTTTTTTAAATCTGAGACCAAATAAAAATAGGCAGCTGTCAATATACATGCATAGACTGCCAAAGTGTAGTCTGCGTCTGAGAAACTCAGGAACATACATTTAAAACAGCTATAGTAATTTCTGAATGACTGTCTTGCAGATCTGTGACTTTGGCCTGGCCCGTGTAGAGGAGTCAGACGAGTCACGGCACATGACTCAGGAAGTGGTGACACAATACTATCGAGCTCCAGAAATCCTTATGGGTAGCCGCCATTATTCCAACTCCATCGATATCTGGTCTGTGGGTTGCATCTTTGCTGAGCTGCTGGGGCGGCGCATCCTCTTCCAAGCCCAAAGTCCCATTCAGCAGGTAACTTATTTTTCTTAGGTAAGACAACATGAGTTAAGAGGTAACTTTTTCATCCTTCAGTGATTTTTTTTTAATAGTCAGGTGGATATAATATAATTTAAATATACTTTTTATATATACCAGTTATGAAAAGAAGTTTGCATACACTTTAAAAGATCATCATGTCACGGCAGTCTTAAGATTTCAGTAATTCCTGTATCTCTTTAATTGTTTATGATGGAATATGTGTCACAGAAAACGATCATGCATTTTTTCATGAATATTTTATACATCTGTAAATACTGTGTATGTATATGTGTGTATATATAGTACATACACATGTAATACTGTTCAAAAAAATTAAGCAACCACTTTGATCTTGCATTAGATCTTGATAAAGAAAAAAATTAAGTTGAAAATCTTTATTAATATACATTGTGTAATTTATTGAGAACAAAATGATCTAAGAATGGTCAGTGAAAACCAAAATGATAAATCCACTGAAGGTTGATTTTAAAATCACACCAAAAATCGAATTGAAAAGTTGAAGGCACAGGTCATTCCACCGTTGTGAAATTTTGTCACAACTCATAATGTGGCTCAGAGGTGTCGATGACCCTTTTCGTGCCTGCATGCACTCCCAACAACTGCTGGGCATACTCCTGATGAGACAGCGGATGGTATCCTGGGGGATTTCTTTCTAGACCTGGATCAGGGCATCAGTCAGCTCCTGCACAGTCTGTGGTGCTACTTTGCAACTTGGAAGCATCAATACATAATGTCCCAGAGGTTCGTAGATGGATTCTGGTCCTGAGAAAATGAGGGCTGGTCAATGGCATCAGTGCCTTCATCATCTAGGAACTGCCTACACACTGACCAGGAATTATCCTGCAATATGAGGAACCCAGGGCCCACTTTCCCAGCGTAAGCTCTGACAATGGGTCTGAGGATTTTGTCCTGATACCAAACAGCAGTCAGGGTAACACTGGAGCTATATGCAACCCTCCACAGGTATGCCTTCCCAGACCATCACTGACCCACCACCATAGCAGTCATGCTGGGTGATGTTGCAGGCAGCATAATGTTTAATATGGTATCTCCAGACTCTTTTACGTCTGTCACATGTGCTCTGCATGAACCTGCTGTGTGCAACTTGAATGGGCTGCTGGTATTGCCTCATGCTACCAGCAGTCATATGGGCACTAGCAAAATGCAGAACTAGACAAACATCAGTCAGGAAGAATAAGGAGAGAAAAATGGTCCACCACGTACAAAACCATTCCCTTTTGGGTTTGTTTGGGATTTTTTTGCTGTTGCATCTCCTGTCCACCTGTTGTCACTTTTATTTTCACCAGAGCAGGTGAAAATGATTCACAATCAATAATGCTTCCTGACTGGACAGATTGATATTCCAGAAGTTTAGCTGAATTGGTGTTATACTGTGATGATAAAGTGTTCACTTCATGTTTTTTAGCGGTGTATATGTTTATATATAAAAAGCAGACAGAAAGTGATCTCCCACACCATATTGTCAAAACAAGACTGCAGTCTGAACCCCCAATAAACTACATTTTTTTCTTTGTTATTTATCTAATTCATGTACTCTTGTTTAATTTCTGCTCAGCGTGACAGTCTCTGCTGCTGTTTTGCTACTCTGATCCGCTCTCATCTGCTCCCTGTTTCACTATGTGTGTCTTCTGTGCTGTGTGCCACGTCTGCACGGAGCAGAGCAGACACAACAGAGCAAAGGAGCGTCAAGTCACGTAAAGATAATTCAAGTTGACAGAACTTGTTACAGCCATGTAGTGTATTTTACAATGCAAGAAGGGGATAATGATTGTGGCTGTAATTTATTTTGTTGGGTCTTGCATCCACAACATTTGTGGTTGTAAATGAAGCACAAAAGGAGAGGTGGTGCTGAAGCCCTTTTTTGTTTTGGTCTGAGATGCTATTGCTCTAGCAGCATCCAGTAGTACTGAATGTTATATACCACGCTGTTAAAGACATATAGTCCTGTGAGTCCCAATATGTAGAAAAAAAAAACCATCTCAGTCTGTTGTCTGTTCTGTGTGTTCCTGTGAATAGCTGGATTTAATCACTGACCTGTTGGGGACTCCTTCTATGGAGGCGATGAGGACGGCATGTGAAGGTGCTCGTGCACACATTCTTAGAGGACCTCACAAACAGGTAAATCATCTTTTTTGCATAGAGCTCTTCTGAAATATTAGAATTATAGAAACATTTTCTGTTTTGCTAATATACAATCAGAGTTCCATGACTCTCCCTCCTGGAACTCTCGCTGGAAATCCTGTTCGGTAAGCATGTCAAGCATCATCTGCAATGCACACTGAATCTGCTCCATGACGTCAATAGAATGATCCTTCAACTTGAATTTCTCTTTGGAGAAGAGAAGGAAGTTGTAGGAGCCCAAATCTTGGAAGCTGGGTGGGTGTGGGCCATTGATTATGTTGTTGTGGCCACAATATCTGCTACTTAATCTGCTGTCAGAGGATGTGCACACAATCGGAGCACCAAACTGCCATTGTACCCCGCTTCAGGTCATTTGCGCCACGTTTCCACCTGCACCTTAGGACATAAAAAGCCTAACCCTCAGGGATGAATTCACTTTACATCAGCTCTTGAATGTCAAAGGATGTGATAAGGATGGTTTCCTTACCTGACGCACCTTCCTTAGTCATGACGACTGCAGCTCTTCCACCATGAAAACTGCAGTTTGGGCTCTGTCTCAGAGTTGCACGTCCACCTCTCTTCTCCAGTGGTGATCCTCCTCATGAAGGTTCACTCCTTACTCTTCACTCCGGCTTACTGACACAGAATGTGATGTTTGCTTCCTTGCTCCGGTTTGAGGTCCATGGTAAAACTGCAATAATAATTGATACTGTTTTTGTTGTTCTAACATTAGATTCATCCTTGAAATGGACCACTTTACTTTTTCATAAATGATGGTCCTGACCAGCTCCCCCTGTAATGCCAGTTGTTTAGCCATCATTCTGAATGGTAATCACTCCACACAAGTTCCTTCACCTTCTGGATGTTGGTATCAGTTACTGTTGTTGAACGACATCCTGGTTTTGGGTCATTTTCCACGCCGCGTGCCCCATTCTGAACCCGTTGTGCTCTCATAGACACATCTGTGGGACATTATTAGCTCCCTATACTCATCCTTCAGCATGGCAAGGGTTTCTGCTGGAGTTTTTTCCAAGTTAGCCAAGAACTTGATGTTAGTCCTTTGCTCAAGGTTCATTCTGTGACAGAGGGCTATTGACTGGAGCTTGAAACCCACCTGTGAAACAAAAGATCATAGGTCAATTGAAGTATTACTTTTCTCATGCAGTGTTGAGATGTTGGGCAACACTATGATGTACTTCATTATTGTGTGGCTGCTGTATCATGTGATCAGCAACCAGTGTTTCCTTTCCTTTTTGTTGGATCTATTTAAGATATGCCACAATCTTGAAGTGACAGGTGGAGATCATTAATGCTGTAATGTTTATTTTGCCTGCAGCCATCCCTTCCTGTTCTGTACACACTCTCCAGCCAAGCAACCCATGAAGCAGTCCATCTCCTCTGCAGGATGCTAGTGTTTGATCCGGTGAGTCATTCTGCTATACATAGTTTTGCATGATATTTTGATAATAAGTGAAGCCTGCTAATGGAGTCCCTTAAGTACAGTCAATTTGTATAATGGTGTACACAGTCTGCTTTGACTTTGTGTCTGTTTGACGAAAGTATCAGATTAAAGCCGTTTTGATTGTCATAGGATATACACAAGTGCTTCAGTTTTAAAGAACCACAACAATTAGAATTATGGCCAGAAGTTTCCTTAATTTTATACCGAACAAAATCATGAATATCTACGATAAGCCTACTCTAAAGGACATTTCCATGATTTGAGCTCTGAGGTAAATATATATTTAAACAACCTGTGACATCCAAAGTTGATTCAATCTGAGCCCTTAGTGCTATATCACTGACACCTTCCTCAGCTTTCTTTAAGTCTCCTTTTAATGCATCTGTTAAAGAAAGAACAAAAACATTACTTGTTTAAAAATACATTTTGGGTGATTACAGAACATATACATCACAGAATATTTCATCTGAGGCTGAGGATAAAATTTATTAAACCTGTCTAAACTTACTCAAAGAACCGGGGAACCAATAATCATTCAGAGCTTTGTGAAGACATTTAAAGTACAAAGGCATGTAGAATAGAAGTCATAGCACTCTGCATCCACTGGTTTCATGATAACAAATCAAATAATCAGAAGAACATGGACATGGTGGCTTGTGGTCTGTGTAGTCATGGCTTCTAATAGTAGTATGGTATAGACAGTGAACCACAGTCTTGTCTCTGTGGCAGGTCTTCATTTACCTCATCTCAGTCAACAAGTTGATAATGAACCAATATGTCCACTTTGATAAACACATGATACTTGGTCTCAGCTGGCTTCTTTTAACTGAAGGTAATTGAAACAAGATTACTGTAGCTGTACCCAGTCTGATTTTTAGAACATTATATAATACATGCTCATTAATGCACAAACTTATCTAGTGTTCAATCAAATCCTGGTCCAACAACTTTACTGAGAAGAAAGACTTTGGCTCCAAATGGACTTTGGTGCAGATTGTAGTCTGAAAGGAAACAGAACTTGTTTTATTAAAGTTGTCTTGGGATTTTAGTATGAATTTAAAAGGTAAACTTCTGATAAGTCCATTTTCTGTTCCTAAAGTGAATGAGGCAATCCTATAGTCGACCTGCATAAGTGATGTTAAGATAAATCTTTTGGTAGTCACAGCAACACAGGCGTGTCAGCCTGTCAGTGTTTGGGTTTCAACCTTCATGTTAGACAGACTTGCCTTGTTTTGACTAAAACTAAAATGCAACAGTGGATCAATTTTTCCTTTGGTTTGGATCAAATGAACCAGAGTACAGGTTTGAAACCAGTTGTGCTTAAAACTAGAACTTATCATAGTGATGAGAGGCGTGTATGTCAGTGAGCAGTGGAACAGTTTTGTGGAGTAAGTAACTTTGTTTATTTGATGTGTGATCTAAAAGGAGAAAACTCCATCTTCTCCAAAAAATTATCTGTCATGCTACTTTATGCATGAACAGATCATATATCTATTTAAGTTGCAACTACATCAGATGTAGTTCATATTACTGTTGTGTTTGGCATGCAGGGGTTGAGCAAAAATGTTAAAGTGCTTAATCGCATAGATCATTCCTTCAGAGACTGTACTAATCATTCATTTATCAGCAGCTGTTTACTGGGATGTTTACCATTTTGTTAATTTTTCATTAATTTAAGTTACAATTGTCACGCTGTTCCTTAGTTGATTTTTTTTTTTTTTTCATCAGCTCCTTCCCAAATGTATTTTGAGGCTAAGGAATATAAAAAATAAAGTTAGTAATACATCTAATTTGTGCATGCGGTCTCCAGTCAAAAAGGATTTCAGCCAAGGACGCCCTGGCTCACCCTTACCTGGATGAGGGTCGACTTCGGTACCACACATGCATGTGCAAATGCTGCTTCACCACATCCTCTGGCCGTGTTTACACCAGCGACTTTGAGCCTGTCACAAACCCCAAATTTGATGATGGCTTTGAGAAGAACCTGAGCTCTGTGAGACAGGTCAAAGGTAAGTTTGTCTGCTGGTGACCTCTCTGTTATTAGTCCTAAGACATTTCAGCATACACAAAGAGATTTTAAAAAGAGCAATTACTGACCCATAGAATTTATTTTTACTTTTTTTTCTTTTTGAACTTGGTGATCACACAGAAATCCCACCTTTGAACTCTGTGTATGACTTCTCATTCGCTCCCAGAATTAGTTTGGAGGTCCAGTTGCAACATTAGTTCAAGTGATGAAGAAGATTGTGATTGCAGTTCACATTTGTACAACAACATCATTAAAAGTAAACCTGACCCACAGTGTTCTGAAATACATTGTGCATGTGTAGACTGTATTTCCTACCTCATTAAGCATTTGCTGATTGGTTTACTCACTTGAAGTGTACTTCTTCTCTGCCTTGCTACTGTATGCCTCCTGCATCTCACCACTGGCAGCTGTTAACCATCAGCCGCAATCACATGTCTTCATGTACATGCATGATGCAAACAAAACAGGGACCCCCTTGAAAACCATTGGTCCACGGTGCTAGCAGTGGTAGACTCATTAACTGGAGTTCAGTGGTCACAGGAAACTTCTTCATTTCTGATAAAACAATCAAGACAGACTTAAGTTACAATTTGGGGGCTGCTTCTGCCTTGTCTGACAAAGAATTGAAACTGGATATTTGAAAGGCAGTTTTAGGTGAAAGAAATCATCTGAACACTAATAAAGTAAGGAAAGATTTGATTTCATATAAATATGAGTTTGCTTAAAGAATTAACTAATGTTGAAGAAATGTTAAACATTCCTACATGTTAGGTTAAAATAAGTAAGAAATGCTGGTCTGTCTGTTTTCCTCACAGAGATCATCCATCAGTTCATTTTGGAACAGCAAAAGGGGAGTCGAGTACCACTCTGCATTAACCCTCAATCAGCTGCTTTTAAAAGCTTCATCAGGTAGGAGGCCTTTTAATTCACAGCAGTATAAAATGTCATAGAACTAAAGATTGTGTATGTGCTGATAACACTTTAAGTCAATGATTTGTTTGTTTTACCTATTGGTGGAGTTTGGCTAGCAGTTTTCCTGCGTCCAGTCTTTTTGCTAATCTACACTGCTCAAAAAAAATTAAGGGAACACTTGGGTCTTGCATCAGAGCTCAATGAGCAAAAGCTTCAAGTTGAAAATCTTTATTGATGTACATTGTGTAATTCATTGAGAACAAAATGATGTAAGAATAGTCAGTGGAAACCAAAATAATTAACCCATTGAGCGGTAGATTCAAAATCACACCAAAAATCAAAGTAAAAAATTTAATGAATTTCATCACAACAACTCATAATGTAGCTCAGAAGTGTCGATGACCCCCTTATGCCTGCATGCACTCCTGACAACTGCTGGGCGTATTCCTGATGAGACAGCCAATGGTATCCTGGGGGATTTCTTCCAAGACCTGGGTCAGGGCATCAATGAGCTCCTGTACAGTCTACTGGCAGGTGCTACTTGGCACCAGTCAATGGCGTCAATGCCTTCATCGTCCAGGAAATGCCTACACACTGTGGCCACATGAGGTTGGGCATTGTCTTACAATATGAGGAACTCAGGGCCCACTTCCCCAGTGTAAGGTCTGATGATGGGTCTGAGGATTTTATCCTGATACCTAACAACAGTCAGGATACCACTGACTAGCACATGGAGGTATATGTGACACTCCACAGATATGCCTCCTCAGACCATCACTGACCCACCACCAAACCAGTTATGCTGGATGATGTTGCAGGCAGCATAATGTTTAATATAACAAGGGGGAGAGACCTCACTCCTCCCTCCCCCAAGGTCCAAGTACAATGTAACTGCATTTATAGAAAACACAAACCCTTTTCCTATTGGCTCGCCATAAAGAGGTTGTAAGTTTATAGTGTCCACACCATGTAAGAAACCTGAGGTCATCTTTCAAAAGTCAAAACCCTTTAAAGGGTAAGCATACCTACTCTAGTTGACCTCAAACCTTAGCCTTTTTGACCCCTAGGTAACTCTTCTATTATTAGGCTTCAGCAAAGTTTCAGAACAACAAAGATACATTTACATAAAATGAAAAACCGATACTAAATGATAACCCTCATGGTTGATATCATGTTCACATTCCTTCCTTATCATTTATTATATGATAACCCCAAGGTTATTGTTATACAGTTTGTAAGAGCGACGCTGTAAAGGCTGAGAATTCATTAGCAGAATCTGTATCTTTTCTTTTACCACAAATAATTTCTTCTTAGTCAAGTACCAACACTGAATAGTTTCAGATCAACAAAGATACATTTACATGAAAAAAAAAAAACAGATAATAAATAATAACCTAAGAGCTCATGGTTGATTTTACTTTCACAATGCCTATCGAGCTGCACAGTTCTGGCCTGTGAGCACAGGTCTGTCTGGAGAACGTCGGGCCTTAATGCCTAGTAGATACCTCAAACCATCTTGCAATGGCATGTATAGATGCACCATTCCGGACGAGCTGGACTACCTAATGGGCTGCTGGTACTGCCTCATGCTACCAGCAGTCATATGGACACGAGCAAAATGCAAAACTAGTGAAAAATCACTCAGGAAGGATATGGAGAGAAAAAATGGTCTATGGCCATCACCTGCAAAATCATTCCCCATTAGGGTTTGTCTTGCTGTTGCATCTCCTGTCCTGTCACTTTTATTTTCACCAGACTAGGTGAAAGGATTCACAATCAATTACGCTTCTTAACTGTACATGTTGATGTGCCAGACGTTTGGTGAAATTGGTGTTATACTGTGATGATAAAGTGTCCCCTTCATTTTTTTGAGCAGCGTAGGTTAACTAAGTCATATGCCCGTTGCACATACATTACATAGATATCGGTATTATCTGCATCTGAGTGAAACACTAACTGAGTCTTTCCCAGAATTTTGAAGAGCTTCTTGGTGCTGCTATTCCTTCCTATTATCTAGCATTTCAACACTTGTTGTAAATAAAGCGAAAAATTTGAAATTCACAATATATAAAACAGTAACAGAGCTTTTTCACAGCAGACAATTTGTCATAGGTGCAACATAGATACTCATATTCATGCTGGTTCTGTTGCAATAAAAGTTCTAGCAAGTCATAACAGCGAACCAGCATGCACAACAAATGGACCTCAGTGATGTGGATTCCTGCCATCATTAATACAACTTTTCTTTTCTGCTATGATGTGTAAAAATGTCAGCTGTAAAAAAGGCCGATTCTTAGTTTCCTAACTGCAGTACCTAATGTTGGTGGTTTTAACTCTTTAGGGTCATTCATTTCCAGTTAATGTATTTGCTAATATTTGGAAAGTGAGCGTATTTTCATCCTCTATCTTTTGTGAAACACAATATAATTAATCAGAACGATTGAATACATTTTTTGAGTGAATTGAAACGTGAATAGCTAATATTACCTTTACCCACTTGTTGGCCTGCTTTTGAATAGTTCCACAGTGGCTCAGCCCTCTGAAATGCCTCCATCTCCGCTGGTGTGGGAATAGCTGCTGCTGTGTGTCATCATCTTTCCCAACTGACAAGCTGCTAAACTGGGAACAAGAACTCAACATCTTCTATCATCTGCGTAGCATTTCACTGGAGAGCAGGACTCACAGGTCTGCTGTGTTTATGCTGAAATATGGAACAAATGAAGAGAAATCTACTGATAATTGCTTTATCGAGAGTATTAGAGGGTTTGGTAGGCAAAAGAGTGAGACACTCTTTGCTCTGTAGACCAAATGTGAATGTTTTAAACAAACCCTACTGATTACTTACAGGTAGACAAGATTTAATAATTATACAGTGAAGTACATTTGTTTTGCTTTATGCATTAATACAAATTCTTAAAAGAAGATGTGTATTCCAATCACAAACTGATTAATTCCCCATACAATTAGGCTCCTCTGCCTTATTTTGCCCACCTTCACCGCTGTAATAGGTAATTGACTTTGCTTCTTATTCAGACAATCTGTTATAATTGTGTTGGTACTCCCCATATTTTATAAGACTATGCCTTCTGGCACATTAATATGTTAATGTTTTGAAAATAAGTTGTTACAAGTTTATCCCCCTGTGCCCCACCCCCACCCCCACGCCCTGCATATTTGGTTTTTATTCATGTAACACTTAATTTGCCAAAGATCAGGAGCCTCATGTATAAATAATGCATAAATATTAAGATTGTGTGCAAATTTGCAAGGTTTTGGATTCATGCTATTATTCAATTTCTTTTTGATATTTACTTATTTGTTTGACAGGGCCAGTGCTCATCTACAAAAAATTAGTTGGTTCTTCAGGCAAATTTTTTGTCTGTTACCTGTGACCAGTTCTTGAAAAGACACCCTAAAATTACAATAAAATTATTTGTTATGTAGCAGGACAGACAATCATATCAGGCCACATTTTGAAGCATCAGCTATTTAAACAAACTAGTTCACATGATGTTTTGTGAAGTTAAAGATGCTTCTACCTGCTCCAAATGGCCTACCTTGAAGGCTGAGTGAACATCCTGCCATCATAACCTCATCCATCTCAGTCACACTGCGTTCTGGTCGTCTGTCTAACAGTTTCTGTTTCTGTTGTTACAACACCAACTTTAAAAAATTGTTGGATGCACCCTCCTATAGTTTTGACATCAGAAAGCTAGATGCAGGTTCAGACAGTGTAAAAGGACCTGACAGCCACTGTGTTTAGAATGCTCCAGGGTTAGGGGTTCTCAACACACTAGTCATTACAACTTTAGAAGGAGGTAATCTGTCTGTCAGCTTCTTTTACAGTTCTCCTGTCCTTAGCAGCCAAAATGGATAGGTACAGCTTTAAACTGGAAGTATAAAGTATTTTAATGTCATGCATAATCCTACGTTTTCATCATTTCATAGTTTCTAACCTTTTACAGCTTCCTTCCATGTAGAACGCACTTATAAGTTTGATTCACAGCTTCAGTCGTTTACTTATAAAACCACAACATGGCACTTTTGTTTGTCGTCCAGGCAAAATATTATGGATGTGAACTAAATGAATTACAACTAAATTTTTAATGTCCGCATCAGACATTTACACTGTTCACAGTTATTGTCAAAGAAGAAACACAAATCCAGAAATGTAAAATGTGTAATGTATAAAAAGAACACACACATAGAGGAATGTAATTATTGACAAGATATAGTTTTACATATACTGTATATCTGTTCAAACAAGTACATCTATGCATGTATCTGCTATTTTGCGTATGATTTCAGTGATGAATGTATGCAACTGTTTATACATGAGGCCCCAAAATAGTAACGACAATAAGCCTGTCCCAATTTGTAAACCTTTCTCAGTAATTGTAGAAAGGCTCAGGCATCACCTGATTAAAGCAACTGCAGCTTTATTTCTGGTTTAATTGATGAAACTGTTATCGCAGTGTAGGTTAGAACAATGTTCTGCTAAATTTAAATGGGATCTGCTTGGTTGGTTGGAATAGTGTTTTGTTATTGAGATAATTGAACTTGAAGGTGAAAGTTTAACTTGCATGCAACACAAAGAACAATTGAACTTTTCATTGAATGGGAAATATGTTGAAGAAGGGATCAGAGTAAAAGCTATCCTTATACTATGCCCTGCTTCCAAATTACACAACACTGCTCCTGTGACTTCAGAGAGCATACAGTCAGTGACTGTACTGATGAAGGGAAAAGGAGCAGAACAGGAAATTCTAGTGTTTCTCCAGTCCCCTTCTTTGACCAGCCATAACTATTGTACCACTAATACTCACTTCATGAGTGGCATAGGGGTAAACAGTTCGATCAGCCTAACTGAGTACTTTTTCTTTTTTTTGTTGTGAAGGAATGTGTATTGTCTACTTGTGTGCCTCCTAAAGTCTCTGCTTGAATAGTAAGATAACTATTCACACAATCAGCCAATCTGAGCAAATTTTACCCCAAAGAATATGAAGAGAAATATTCCTGGTTTAAACTTCACTGAACTGAAATGTCAGTTTTCTAGTGTTCCTCTGTGATCTTTGCTTGACTTGCTGTCTGTAAATAGCACTTGAACTGAGCTGAATGAAGACAGATTTAGAAACATAGATACCTCCTTGGCTGCTGCTGTATGTCACTGCTGTGCATCTCCACGTTCACCATCCACTAATCAGGATCCACTAATGAATAAATATAATATGTATTGACAGATGCAGACTCTGCATGTCCCAAAAGAAGTTGTGGCCATTCGGGGTTTAAAATTTGGGCATATAACTGATTAGATCTGCTCTTTTAACTGAATTAGGTTCCAATAAGTAACCATTTATTACTTAAACACATTTCATTTGCGTACTTGCAGATATTTGCTGCCCCAATATGGTAACCATGCAGATGCACGTCAAATTGCAAGCACTGTATCTACATTTCTATATCTGTTTAAATGATAACCTGTAAATCCTGCTAGCCATTCTAGTGTTTTCAGTTCTTCACAGTCTGGCTCTTATTTTTGTGCAGTTGGCCATCGTTTCTGTCGTATGAAAACATTTTGGTCACACCGACATGTTAATAGTCTGCTTTCAGTTGGGAAGGGACCACTGTTGTTTGTTATCCCGCTCATTCTGCCAACATTTCCTGTCTTACAGCAGCATTCACAACTGATTGTGCCATCTGAACCACTTCCTTGGCATAAACACAAAGAAAATAGTATAAGTTACTTCTCGAATGGTCTGTTGGGAACCAGATTTCTAGGATTTGCTTCAAACCTGTCTGGTTGTTTGACTCATCTATGTCTGATCAAAGGTCTTTTTTTTTTAAACTTTATTTTACTTTTTTGCAATCTCACTTCACAGACAACATCAAAAGAATGAACAGTAGTAAATACATTTGTTCAAAGGATATGTAAAGTACAAATGGAAAAGTATGTTATGGGCTTAGTTAATTTGCTTTTATACTCCCTCCATGCTTTTCCAGACAGTGTAAGGAATAAACAGGTCTCCATTGTTTTTGACATATTTTAAAGACATAATTCATGTTCTGTCATGTTAAACATATCTAATAGATGCTTAGCAGAATAGCGGCAGCATGTCAGTAGCAGTAAAGTAGAAACAAGGATCCAATTAGATCTACATAATCTTAACTTTAGACCAGTGATGCTGATGTACAGATTTTAATAGACCAGCTGACATGTTTAAACTGAGTGAGATGGACAACTTCTCTGTTATTTTATTATATATTTATTAGGTCTCATCTGAAATTTTTTTTATCCATATTTCGTTTTAACTTATAGTACCCATTTTGTTTTCTCTCTTGGTCGTAAACCCAAGGCCACAGCTATGTGTGTGTCATCCAATGACTAATAGGGATGATGGCCAACACTATGAGAATCAGACCCAGATTGTGAAAAATAACCCACCTCAACAAGCATAGAAGAAGACAGTGGGCGTATGGTAGCTTAATTTACGCAAGATCAAATCTTCCCTTGGAGCCCACCTATGTAAAAAGATGTCTGTTCTACTTGTTCTTCTTCAGACTTTAAGGATAAATGGGGAACTGACATCACGATGTCTTAAAATGAAAAGAAATGGAACCAAGATAAAGAACCAGCTAAACCAGCAATATCCCTCTTAAGGTGGTAATTCTTTGTATTGAATTGCATTCAAGAAGCTCACCATAGAAGAGAAGCAAGTAGCATTTGAATGACACATAAATGATAGCATGGTCTCATCTATATGGGTTTTTATATATAATGTAATCCAGTGCAAAAGAGTGCCACTGCTCCTCCTCATACATGTACACTGTCTCCAGAAAAAAAGAGCTTTGAAGTAAATTATTTAATATATTTTTAGAATTGTTTTTTATTCCTGTTCTTGTGTCCTATGGCATGCATTATTCTCACACCTCAAAGTATGATCATGTATATATGTTAAATAGAGAAGCAAATCTATACACCAACCTAAAGAACAATACTACTGTATAGAAATTGTATTAGCCTGCACATTTCGAGGGCTGTGAAGTTCATCTTATTTTTAAAAACTTGCATACAAATGTATATATTTTCTTGATTTTTACCCTGCAACTAGGATGTGTAGAGGACAACAAATCCTGTAATGATTCACAGAATACACAGTCATGTTAACTGTAACTTGTGTGTACAGCAGAGTTGTAGATATATCTAAGGAGAAGCCTTTTTTGTTATTGTTAATTATTTCATCACAGCAACACTGTGAATATGTATATAAAGGATTTACTGTGTTGGTCTCTACCTCTGAGCTCAATAACTTGGCTTTGTTTACCTCCACACATTTCTGGTTTCATGTGGGGATGAATTACAAACACTTGAATGTCTATTCAAGATTTTATACTGAAATAATAAAATATACCCAACCCCACCCCACCCCTTTTTTTGACACCGTCGAAGTGCAAAGCATCCCCCTGAAGTTTTGAATTTCTCTGATGTTTGTATTATTGTATGGCAAAGCCCTACCAATAGCCCAGGGTTACCTGACTGTTAGTCAATTTTCACTCTTTGATAGAATAAGACCTAATGGGGAGGGAAAGCCATTGTTTTTGCCACAGTGGCTGTGTTCAAAGCTCAATGTCAAATGATTTGATTTGATGATTTGATGCAAAGACTACTTTTGAAATTTCACACAACAAACAACAAACAGCTTGGGATATTTTTAGGCTACTGATTGGCCACAGACCAGTGTATTTTTTTTTGTCTGTGTTTGGTTTTTTTTGTGTGTGTGTTTCTTTTTTGGTAGGTTGTACTTTATGGGGCTGGAGGACAACAGCATTTCATTGAATCAGAATCCAGTATTGGAGCCACCTATTGAAGTCTTATACATTCTAGTACCTTAGTTTAGGTTTGGCTTTCAATATTTCCAAGATGATGTGCAATTACTATGGCCTCAGAAGCGCTGAGTTGAATCGCCTCAAAATGCACCAACACACACAACGTACGAATGAAGTATGCTAAGCAAAATCTCTCCACAGACATCTAATGTTTGGAAGCACATCCACTTTGTGTTATCACAGCATTAAAAACATACAGAAAGTAGAAAAGTAGAGGTGTCTTTTTCTTTTCATTATTTAGCATGATTGGATACTTTTTTATTTATTTTGCACTTTATATGTCAGTGGATGTTTAGCCCGTTATGGTTAAAGAAGGCAAATTGATGCTACATTGTTGTTCCTTATGTTATTCAAATTATTGGTTATTTTTAATATAGGCCTGTAAGAAAATAAAAAGCTTATTTACGTATCAGCTGGTTAATACACATGAATGTTCATCTATTTTAATGACCTCTTAAATGTTCAAATAGCAGACAAGCAGAAATTGACACAGGGCATGACTGAATATTAGATTCGGAATCATATTGTGTATGCGTAAGAGTATTAGTGATAGAACACAGCGTTTAAGAAATAAAAACTGAAACCAGTCCGCGCTATACGGTACATACCAGCATATAGCATCACATTTTGTAGGCAACCTCTGGGGTCAAATCTGAGAATTCCAGCCTCAAGGATAGCCTTAGAAATCACTCTTTTTTGCTTAAAATCTTCATGCTTGAAATGTTTGCTACTAATAAAGAGCACGGAATTGTATAATATATCTAAAGTGAATAAGTGATTTGTCAGTAGCTCCTGATCTTTTTTAACTGATTATGGGTTTTGATGTGAATCAGCTGTTTAAGTCTAGCCCTAGCATTATACACATTTTTATATTTTATTTTTTTTATTTATGCAGTTGTGATTGACTGCAGGATGGTTGTTTTCAGATAACAAAAATAAAAGCATGTCCCATCTGTTGCACATGAAACCAACCACGAAAGACAGCAGCAGAAACACTTGTGTGAACACATTGTTACAACAGAAGTTTCTCGGGGACACTAACGACCACTAAATTACACCAGAAGCCACAACATTAAAACCACCGGTTTAACATTGGGTACATCCCCCCCATGCCACCAAAACAGCTATGGGCACTACGGACTTCCGATGATGTGCTGTGCCATCAGGCAAAGAATGTATTAGCATCAGATCCTTCAAGTCCTGGAAGTTGCAAAGTGGGGCTCAATGGACTTGTTTTTCCAGCACAATCCCACACTTTAGGTCAGACAGAGATCTAGGAATGTGGCTTCCAAATCAACACCTTAAACTCTGTGTCATATTCCCCAAGTTCCTGAACAATTTTGGCAATGTAGCTGGGAGTTTTATCCTGTTGAAGAGGCCATCTGAAAATACTGATTCCATGAAGGGGTGTACATGGTCTGTGACATGGTGTACTATGGAATTAACATCTACTGCAAGACTAACTAATGCAGCCCTTACTCTCCAGACACATCAGTGAGCGTTGAGGTGCCCATAACCTGCTGCCAGTTCAGTGGTTGATTCTTCTTTAACGACTTTTAGTAGTAGCTCTTGTTTACCAGGAACATCCCACAACGACTGTTGTTTCAAGATTCTCTGACCCTGTCATCTATCCATCACAAACTGGGCTTTGCCAGTGTAACACTGCTACCTATTTGGAGACCTGACTGACCTTGACAGGTACTGTTGGAACAAGAAAATCAGTGTTATTCACTCCATCTGTTCATGTTTTTAATGTTGTTGCTGATCAGTGCATGCACCTTGTAACATTTTCATTATGGGATTATGAACATATCTGTGCTAACTTGCTGTCCTACTGCCATATTCACCCTATGGCCTGAAAACAGCTTTTGCGCCTGTTACCTGGGGCCAATTAACATGTCTTACTGAAATTAAGATTAGTTTGACCTAAAGGTGAAAGACACATTAATAAGCAGTGTTTCTGAATGTAACTGAACAACAACAACTACTGATCACAGTGAGACCAAATTCAGATTCTGACTCAAGTCCAATTCAACTACCAGGTTTGCTACAAAGTTTGAGACCTCAGTTTGAGTCTGTGTAGACTTCTGTTAACAATGGTCATTTTGTAGCCTGCAGGTCTTTGGAAAAAATGACCTTCACAACAGATAAAATCCAGCAAATTAGAAGCTAGCAAGTCCTGCTTCCCAAAAAGCCCCCTACTCCAACAGTTTTTTTTAGTGGTATTGTTAATACAGCCTTTTACTAATCACTGGTGTGTTCGTCAGGAGTTAGTGTCCTCTGGAAATGTCATTCATGTTGTAACTTGGTTATAGTACATTGTTGAGTACATTTTTTTGTGTGTGCCATCTATGCCTTGTCACACTGGTGAAAGTGTTTTTCCATCTGTTTCATTTTTGTTATTCAGTTCTTTCTAAATTTGACAAACTTTCAGTACATTGAGCCATTCTATTATTGTCCAAAGCATAAAATTACAAGATGTAGCTCCTGTTCAATGAGTACATGATTATTTTTCCAAAAAGGCTTTGTTATGGGTTTACCCTGATGAGGCTTGTAGTTTGTTATCGGTCACATGGCCAAAGTTATAAGATGGCAGTGTGTTATTTATTGTAGATTATCCCATACCTGTTCAAAGAAGGAATATTCTGTGCAAAGGAGCTAATAGAAGTGAAGCATACTGTGGGTATTTTGTTGGAAACTGAATGGGAATTTTCTCAGGAATGAACACAACTAGCAGTGGTGGCTCTCCCTCCCCATCCTGTATGAACTCTGTGTAGATTCTAGTTGTTTTATTTTGCTTTGGAATGAAGTACTTGAATCAAATGATACTCATTTTGGAAAATTGTAGAGTAATAACTGGCAAACTTTATGTAACAGACTAACCACATTTCAGCAACTACTGGACTATTTGAAATGATATAATTTGCTGTCCTAAACAATGTTTGTATATTTGATGTTTTAATCAGATGCATTGTAATTTGAATAAACTAGCAGTATATACAGTACATAGATGTATCTTTAAACTCTGCGTTTATGCACTGTAAATCAGAGTCAATGACAAGGTATCCAGTTGACAGTTGTGAGGTTTACCTTAAAAGTTCCATCTGGAAAATAATGGTGAAAATATTAAATGTGACATTTAAAGAATGCCAAGGCTTGTTGTCCATACTCCTCATAATGCAAAAACAGAGGAGAAGTTCACACAGCACAAGATCACACGTAATGAAGTTTTGGTTCCCCAAGTTTGCATCTAGCCTAGAATACCATGCTAACAACCTGATGGAATTAAGTATGTTTAATTTATTTTGTTTATTGTTTTATAATAATAAATAAATAATAAATTGTTTTTATTCTATTAGAATTTAGGCTCATAGCTGCTTAACTTTAACATGATACATTTTTAAAATGTACTATCAAAGGTGTTACTTCCTCTTCACTCTGAAGTTTCTGGTTGATTTTCTGTGAGCAGCAGTGACATCAGTGCTGTGTGGATCCTTCTCTTGTGTGTGGGAAAATTCATTTTTAACCTGTGTGAGTCAATACCCATTGCGTCTGCCACGCCAAAATTGCTTCTCAGCCCACCACCATGCTGGAAGGGCTCGGGTTGGTGCGGCATGTAATCTGAGAGGTACTTGAAGACACAACTCAGGGGTTAATGTGTTTATCTACATTTAATATTTGTTTTTAGAAAGGCTACAATTGAACATAAAAGAGACAAATGCATCTGTGTCGGGGTTAGAGTATCAACAGCATTTCTGGTTTTTGTTATACTTCAAAAATCCTGGAAAGCATAATTGCCTTCTTGCTTGACTCATGAATGCAGGAAATACTGTTAATAGCATATTTATGCACACACACATCATTGTCACAAACATTTAATGTGAATGAATGCAGCCAGTGCATCACAATGTCCTATGTGTTTTTATATGTTAGGCTTATATGCAGCTAAATATTTGAATGATTCTTCTCTGCCTAAATCATAAAGTAGACAATGATTACACACCCAAGAATTTTCAAACAAAACAACCATTGTTAATGACAAAAAGGGGGGAAAATAAACGAAACAAATGTACAGTTTGCAATCACAAGGCAGTCTGTTTAAAAGGCAGGTCATGTGATCTCGATATAGATGTAAAGGACTGCCCAGTACCAAAATATACCTGGAGGTGGAAGACAGTTACACAGTGATGCTTCTCGGGACTTATTGAAGAAAACATTTCCTTTGGGCAAATTACTTCAAGCTTCAGCCTCATCTCTGCTGTGACATCATTACTTCCTTTACACCTGACTGCTTCCTCCTCCTTTGTCTGCTCATGGCTTTGGTCATCTGTGTTCTGTTCATTTCCTTCACAAGAAAACAGCACTTTCTCTCTCTGACAGCTGAAAAACACAACAAATGGTTGTTCAGTTATCCTTGACTGAGGCCTCATGCAAATCAGATTTTTTTTTTTTTTTTTAAAGACACTTCCAGTTACCACCCTCTTTCACTTCTACATTTGTTCTACTTGTGCATGTTATAGACTCATTTTTACATGTACTTGCTTTCTTTTGCACATTTTACAAACAGGTGACTATCCAGCCATCCATCCATTATCTATACACCGCTTAATCCTCACGAGGGTCACAGGGGGGCTGGAGCCTATCCCAGCTGACTCAGGGCGAAGGCAGGGGACACCCTGGACAGGTCACCAGTCTATCACGGGGCTACACTTAGAGACAGACAACCAAGCACACTCACATTCACACCTATGGACAATTTAGAATCACCAATTAACCTCAACATGTTTTTGGACTGTGTGGGAGGAAGCCAGAGAACCCAGAGAGAACCCACGCTGCACAGAGAGAACATGCAAACTCCACACAGAAAGATTCCGGTGCTTCCACCGGGAGGCGAACCGGCAACCTTCTTGCTGCAAGGCCTCTGCATGAATAAAAAATATATATATATTCCTGACCTAATCATTTGTCTGACATTTAGTAATGATGATTCAGGTATGATATGGGGGATTATCGAATCGTGTAGGATTTTGGTGGATGTAACACCTCATACAAAGTAACAGCTGATCTGGTGAAGCTGAGGAAGCTCAGTGATGATTTGTGGAACAGCAGATTTAGGAGCATGTCTACAACCACATATTTGTAAAGCAGAACTTGTTTTATCAATTTGACAAAAAGAATGTGTCTGCATATATTTTTGTTTTTGTTCATACCTACAATATTACTCGCCAATCGACAGCTGGGATGAGACACAATATTGCTGTTAGGGCTACAGTATAGACTTTATGAATAGTAGGATCATACCTGTGTGGACATAGTTCCTGAGTGATCTGCCTCCTCTCTGTCCTGGCACATTGTGGTTTCCCTCTGGGGAGTTTCCTTTTGATTCTCAGTGCATCGGAGAGAACATGCTTTGTGAAACAATAAGGGAGAAATGCCTAACTGTAGAAGAGTAAAAAAGCAATTAAATTCCTGACTCAGTATGTGAACAATTGCAGTTGTGTTTATTATATTGATGTGACTGTACTTGCCTCTCTGTAAAAGTTTCTTCCTGGCATAGATATAGAAGTGAGGGTGACTTTATCACCACTCACTCTAATCTTTTTGACAATGTCTTCATGCTCAATGGACTCCACAAATTCCCCATTTACAGCTAGTAACAGGTCTCCATCCTCCATCCCTGCTTCCTCAGCTGGACTTCCCTCATCCACCTCCCTCAGCACATGAACTGGGTTACAGCAGGTTGGACAGGAAAGGAGAGAAGTTCACTAAAATCTCTAAATATTTTCTGCTACAACTAGCTAGTTTCTTAGTATCAACTATTACAGCATTAACATTAAAATATTTTTTAAACAGTTTCGTTAATTGGGGTTTCATATTTTGTTTATAAAATTATTAAAACAAAACAAACAAACAAAAAAACACAACAGGAGAACGCAAAAAAGATCTCTGTCAAACCAGGTAAAACAGAGTTGTTGCCTTGACTGTTTGTAGACGCTCACACTTATCCCCTTGCACTGTTGCACTGCTTTTCCCAAAATTTCCATATTGGAGTTACATAATATGCACATTTATGAAGATAATGTCAGGTTAAAATGAACTGAAATTATCCTTTAATGAACTGATGATTTGCCTGTATCAGGTGAGAAGCAGTGGAAGAAGCATTCAGATCCTTTATTCAAATAAATGTACATATTTACAGGAAAATGTGGTCAAATTATTAAAGTAAAATTCCTAGTTTTGTCCCTCTGAGTGACATATATGACATCAGTAGATTATTAATAGTGAAGCATTTGTGTGTCAGGAGCATGTTACTGTTGTAGCTGCCACTGGTTTTATATACTGACACCCCAGATAAATCTGAGGGCTCATGGCACAATTAATTGAAGTGGAAAGAAGAAAAGCAAAGTTCTGGTATACAAATCTGTTGACTTTTTCTGTAACCATTGATTTCTTTCTGAGATGTTAGATTTTTTTTTTTAACGTACAGTATATTGAAATGAAACCATGTTGAGAGGTTTAGAGGGGAAAAAATAAAATAAAAATCAATATTTGGTGGCGATGGTAACAACTCATTGACATCTGAAATGTGAGCCTGAATACAGGTGACTTTTTGGAAAGGCATAAAGACTGGGAACCTCTGGTGTAATCTGTAACAATGTGTTGTAGTTTAAAAGCTTGCTATAGTAGCCACTGTGTAAAATGTTTAAACCTAAATGTTCAGGTTTACTTAAGCCGTCAAATAAATGTAATGGAGTAGAAGTATAAACTAGTATAAAATAGAAATACTCTAGTAAAAAATACATCAAATTTGTTCCTACAAATGGTACTTGAGTACCTGTTACTTTGCACCAGGGTGTGTGTTTGTGTATGGATGCAAATTCCATCACTGTGTGCCTCACCTATCCGTCGTGTTCCTGTAATCTTCTCTTGTCTCAGCAGGAAGCCATATCCATCTCGTCCTTTCACCATATACATGGTCTTGGCAGTGTCGGGGAGGCTGCAGTTTTCTGCCATCACAGGCAAGATGGGTATCTTCCTCCTGGCATAGCAGGGCTCACTGGCACTGTCAATGACCAGGACTGTCACTGAGTCCCCACTCTTCTTCATCTGAGAACCAAACCCACTGCAGAGTTACACATAGGTTCATTCAAAGAAAGTACACAAATCAGATCTGACTGAGCAAAAGTAAATTCATACGGTTCTGTTGAGCGTGGAGCGTGTGAGCGTTGGCACCATGACTCCATTGATCCAGATCAACCTATCTCCAGTGCAGACACCAGCTTTCTCTGCTGGACCATCAGCCACTGTGCTCACTATGTACTGGCCCCTCTGACCTGATGACACAACCACATACTTATCATAATCATAAACTATGTTATCAATAGGGAGTGGTATAAAACTGTTGTACTTTGTAACTAAATCAGCTCATATTTATAGAGGACCTCATTCTCAGTTTTCAATTAATGATTGAGCTACCGACTTAGAGGATGTAGTAGAGAGACTGTGTCTCCGTATGGGAGCAACAATTCCACGAGTGACCCTACTGCACAGCACAAGGTTCCTAAAGTAATAGTTAGGAAACTAGAAGTTGAAGAAAGTGAATCATTACTGGCTAGTGGATCAGCACAATATCCACTGATATTTATATTGACTGGCCTCCTTGTGAAATAGTTCTGGGTCATAGGGTGTGTGTTTATTGTGGTCAAACAAATTTTATATACATAATTAGTACTGTGTCAAATAATGACAGCATCAGAAGGTACCATCCCCTGAGATAATGGTCATTCCCAGCCCACTGTCTGGGTGGCTGCTGATGTGACACAGTCTGGGTCTGGACCAGTGTTCCCCTTTGGTGGCTTTGGCCAGTATTTGTAGGTCCACTTCCATAGACACTGCCTGGAGAAGAGAAGCAGCAGCAAAATTCAGCTCATGGATGAATGAATTTGAAGAACAGCTCCATAGAAAACAACTCACTTAACTCAAATTTAACTGGGATATTTATCTAACAGTGACACGTGGAATAATAGCAACCCCTGTGCAGCCATGATGCACTTACACTGCTGTTTCCAGTTACTTCATGTAGACATCAGTGCACTCATTTTGGCTCAATGAAATTACATTGTCTCAAACCTTTGTCAAACATAGGTGCAACGAATAAAAGTCAAGTGTGACCCTTTTGTTATCGTGTCATATGTCCATTCTCAGTCACTGCTGCTGGGGCTGCCATATGGCACAAGGAAACATGATGATGTGTATGATGCATCTGCTGGAATATGACAAATTTACTCTTTTAGATACTTCCTTGTGGATCTTGGTGGGGGCACTGGGAGGATGCTAAAGTAAACAAATATGAAATGAAAGTACAAAAAAAAAAAATGATTGTTGCTTTTATAAATAAGTGAATTGGATGCGACAGCACAGTAACTCGGTTGTTAGCACTGTCGCCTCACAGCTAGACGATCTCTGGTTCACATCCCAGTTAGGATGCCTGGGATCTTTCTGTGTGGAGTTTGTATGTTCTCCCTGTGCAACATGGGTTTCCTCCATGCTCTCTGGCTTCCTCCCACAGTCCAATAACATGTTGAGGTTAATTGGTGATTCTGAATTGTCCATAGGTGTGACTGTGATTGTGCTTGTACGTCTCTATGTGTAGCTCTGCTATAGATTGGCGACTGAAAGAAGCATACCGTCACCGTGACAGAGAGAGCTATCTCTTTGTACAATACAGGTAAAAAGCTGTCTAATCATGGTAAACAGTAATACACCATTGGGCAGCAGTGGCATATGTCAGTAAGAATACTATATGCCAGCAGGACGTGCCACGTGAAAAGACAGCAGAACAGCAGAGGCATACCAATAATTAACACTGACTCAGTATCTACTGTAGCTACCAGAAAAAGAGCTGTTGTAAGTTACAGTTATGTTGCTTTAAGGTATTCCAGGCACAGTGCCCTCAAAATATGTATGCTAGTTGACTAGTGAAACTGACTGGTCGTGATCCATTATTAAGATCACTGGTGTCGCTCCCGACTTCAATAAGACACCATGCTTAAATGGAAGGCAGTTCATCCCAATACACTACCCTTTCATACGCCTCTCTCCCAAGCACCAGGAGAAACAGCTGTAAGCCACATGACTGGATCTTCCTCACAACCTGTCAGGTAATAAAAGACAGAGAGAGACACATTATTCAATTCTTGTTGTTTTTCCATATGGTAAAGGCACCTATTAAAATCTCATGTAGACTATTAAAGATTATCATAATATTGTTTAGGCTCTAATTACCATGTCATCTACATTATATAGAGATGTGAGAATATGCACTTCAACATCATATTCATATTAACTTGGCTACAGTGGACTGACCAGTCAATACCCACTGGTAAGCATGAACCTGTCCAACCCAAACCATATTTACATCCTGAGACCAAGAAATCCAAACATCAATTAATGGTCAGACAAGGAGAGGAAATACAAAACACTTCCATCACTGATCTGTGAGGTATTTAGAATGCTGAAGCTTTACATTACAGTTATTCTGAATCCTTACATCTAAATTATTACCAAAAGTTGCATGTTCCTTCATGATTGTTAAAAGAATTACATTGCTGAAAAATGTTGATAACACTTGTCAGGTACTGGCTGCCGCACATTTGTTTTGTTTAACAAAATATAAATACTTTAACAAAGAGGTTCAGAAAATGAAAAATATGAAAAAAATGGTAAGAGCTGCTTGATGAATGTAATGTTTCACATTTAAGTTATTGTGCAACCTATTGGTCAAGAACAACCAAGCCTCTTGTAATGCTATGTAATTGAGCTTTTCAAAGTGTGGACAAGAAACCAATGAGATCACATCATTTCCATTTTCTTAGGAAATCAAATATGTTAAAATACGAATTAAATTTATTCTAAATTTTGATCATTTCATTAAATTTGCTAATCCTACGCTAATTAAAAATACATACATAATCAGGCTCCTCGGGTGCTCAGTGAACTTGTGTTTACTATCAGGGTTTGGCACTCAGTAGTGTCCAATTATCACAGAAGACCAGGGTTTATTTACCATGTTAAACTGATCAGCAGAATTGTTTTATTTAAACCATGAACAAGTGACAACCTTAACCGCATCACATTTATCATCGTAATGATGATAATGAATTCCTCTAACCTTTTGAAGTGGTATCCTAACCCAAATCATGATCTTTCACATTGATATTTCTGTCCTACTGGGTTAGACAAATTTGGCTGGCTGTACATTCGAATGTACTCATCAAGAATTAAAACAGACCTCAGACCCAACACAGGTATAACTGACTGTGTTAATAATAGCTGCATTCCATTTGGTTGTACCATTTGTCATTTTGTGAATGTTGGCCTGGTGCTATGTTAAGTGAATCAAAATGGAACAGTATCATTACCAACTGCTCTGAAAATGATAAAGTGTAGAATATTTCACTTTGCATAAAGACTATACAACTTCAATGAAGAGCAAACTGATCTATCTATATTGACTGTCCACCCAACCAGACCTATGAAAAAGCTCCCCTCCAAATGGTTAATACTACTTTAGTCTCATCCGTAACCAGCAAAATAGTCGAGGATGCTGTTCTCCACCATCAACCAAATACTATGCCTTGATACCCCCCATCCCACTGGTACCCCTGCTCCAAGTTTCTCAACTTCTTCCAGGCCAAAGTGGTCTCTGTCCACCAAGACGTTTTTAGCACCACTGCCCTCCTTCTCCCCACACAACCTAGCCACAGGGCATTTCTCTCTCCATCAAACACCCGCTTAAGTCTTGTCTCTCCTCAGGTTGCCAAGCTGGTTACCAGAGCCAAGGCTTCCACCTGCACTTTGGAACCTATGCCCACAGCCTTGGTCAAGGCATGTCTACCCACCCTTTGCTCCATTGTGATGAACATTATCAACTCCTCCTAAAAATGCAGCACAGTAACCTTAGGCTCCTCCTACAGGCAGGACTGCTTCTTGTTGAAACCTCTCCAACATGAAACAGTTTGTCACCCTCAAACCCTCTACTTCCATCCAAGCTCTACGTTATGTGTTTGGACCATCCTTTTTAGGTCCCCCCAACAGATCATCTGACACCTTGGCCAAGACTTCTACGGCTATGCTGGTGACACTTAGCTGTATTTCAGCATTTAAACATCTACTCAGCGACATGAAAACCCAAAATCCAATTTTCTCAAGGTAAAAAGTAATAAAATTGTGTTCATGGTTGTGGCTCCCAAGGTGCTCCTGGGTAAGTCATCTATCATCCCCTAAAGTCCACAATCTTGGTGGCTTTCTGGCCCCACCTTCTCATTCCTGTCACAAATGTCCATCACCAAATCCACTTTCTACCATCTGAAAAACATCTCTCGACTTTGATCATCACTTTACACTCTCAGACTGTGGCCAAGACTTTTATCCAGACCTTCATCACATCCTGTCTGGAGTACTGCAACAGAGTCCTCTACAAGCTTCCCAGCAAAGCCCTAGACAGACTCCAGTATGTGCAGAATTCAGCTGCCAGGGTTCTCAACCACTCCAAGCCCTGGCAGCACATCTCCCCCACTCTCATCTACCTTGAGTGACTTCTGGTCAATTTCCATATCTCATGCAAAATCCTTCTCCTCATCTATAAATCATCTTGTGTCCTTTCCACTTAGTATCAAGTAGACCTCCTCCATTCCTATACTACATCCCAGAAACTGCAGCCCTAATATATCGGTCTACTGTTAGACGGATCAAATTAAATAAAATTATTCATATTGTAAAGGTAAAGAAAGTATAAACTGAACAAGAAAGTTGTTTTTTTGTGTGAATTTCACTCTAAAGAGTATGTGCTGTGAGAAAGAACTATTTGCTCAGAAAATTTGTGTTTATTTTAGACAAGTGGGGTAAAGTCTGATATAAGATCAGGAGGTAACCAACAACAACACAATTGTCCCTATGTGCACCATTAATGTGTAAAGAAATATTTCATAGAAATGGGTCCAGGAGACATTGATATCCTCTGGACAGCGAATAGGCAGACCTTTTAATACTGACCCCGTAGAAGTCCATGGTGTTCACATATTCCTCATTCATCTCCAGCACTCGGTCTCCATCCCTGAGGCCGCTTTGCTCCGCAGGACTCCATGGCTCCACATCTCTGACCTCAAATCCCTGAGTGTTCTGGTCTATTCGCAGGTAGAAGCCAAAGCTTTGTCCCTCCAGACGCTTAAGGTGGCACAGTCTGGGCGTCAAGGTAGGATCGGGCTCTGCACACATGGATACATAAAGACTGAAGAGGAGGCTGCTGAAAATTTGATTTTAGGAAAGATGCTTTTCAGGGAGGGGATTTAAAAAGTTGTGTTTAAGCCATGTGCATCAAACCTTACCGGGATCATCGGTGATAACCAACGCTGGATTATCAATTCCTTCCTTTGGATTGAAGGTGAAACTGAAGCAAGGAAAAAATCTAAGTCAGAACCATGAGACACAGCAGGGAAAGTTTACATACAATTTATTTTTCATTGTTTACCTGTATCTAATGACATTGGTTTAGTTAAAAAGGCCTTCTGTGGTATACATTAAATTTACTATACAATCTTCTATAGATACTTGAACAGTGTTTCAGAGGATTCTAGCTGATGCCTATGCACCAGGTTCATATATTCATGAATATTCTGGCATAGTCGCTCTCACTGATCCTGTTTCTATACTTCATTTATACTGAATGATTATGTAGTGCAGCTTTGCATGCAACATAGTGATTCAGTTTTTCTCTAAATTTAACTGTACCATAGCTAGGTGTGCAGATGTAATTTTTCAACTCTGAACATTAAATTATGTTGTCACGTCATGTTTTGGAGAACTGACCTATCATCATCTTGTCTAGTTCTGGAAAAAATGAACACCTATTGTTCTCTACATACTGTACGTGCAAAGATAAGATAAGATAAGATGAGATCAATACTTTATTGATCCCCATAGGGGAAATTCAGATAAAGAGTTCTGCAAATCATATTTACAGTTTAGTTCTTATCTATGTTAGTGTTATCAGAGTTATTTCATCATGCATGACAATGACAACACAACACACACATTCTCTGTTTAGTCTGACTTCTGTAATTTATACAGAAAATCTGAGACATTATTCTGAAAACAGATTTTAGTTTAGACTTTTTTCATGTATTGTGAGCAGCACTGAAGCATGACAGTTACCCCACTGCATTGAGGTTGGGACAGAAATCCCAGATATCTGGCACGACAAACATTTTAATTTATTAGAACAAAACTTACTACTATATACCAAGTGTGTATATATGTAGTTTTTAAATAGCAATTGTCTTAATCACGAGGTGTTACTACTACTACTATGTCTAAAAACGAAACTTACCGTGGATATTCCACCACATCCCGGGAGCCTGTGGGAGAGACAGTGATAGTGTAAGATACTTGTACCTTCCTGCAGCCAGAGACAATTGCTTTTATTCTTTTTCTGGCTCTTCATAAGTTGTGTCTCTATGGAGGCATTTGGGAGTTTGAAGCGTTGCCTTTGTTTTGGTTGACAGGATTCTAATGAAAAATGTAACCTCAATTTACAATTTATATTACACATTGTAACTCTGTTGATCATTTATGTATTGGATCTGTGAAAACAGACCATCTGGCTGTTTGCTAGCACAGATATTATAACAGAAAACCAGCAGACTGTCTAAGTTCAGCCTGAATTTTATTGGACAATGGAACAGCTTAATCCGGCAGTCTTTTTTTTATTTTAGGACACTGAGCCTCATTTGCCATGTGTCACAAGGGAGCTGAACAGTAATTCTGATCACTTGTAAGGAGATGAGATAAGATGAGAACCTTCCTACACACTCCTACTTCACAGTCAGTTTTTAAATATTTTCTGTTTGCTTCTCCTAAGACAGTTAGATGCAATATACATAAAGCAAAATGCAATACAAGTTATAAAAGAAATTCATGAAACTATAAAGCAGGCATTGAGGAAAGTGTACAAGATTTAATTAGTTTTAATATAAACCTGAAAAAAATGTACTTTTATCCAGGACTGCAGCACATTACAACTGACACATTAACCCAGCCATGTTCCCAGGAACATCACTGGGTTAATGTGTACTGTATGTGTAATGTGTACTGTATGAGCCAATGCGGTAGCACAACAAATCATTATAATGTATTCACTTCAGTTTACCACAGCATGGCCACATTATCTATTCACTGAAATTACAGCAAAATCTACTCATTATAGGGATGTTAAAAATAATATCCATGTTTATGATGCAACATGTTACACAAAATCGACTTGGCCAAAACTGAACACTTCCCTTGGACATACATAAACTGAACAGCCACAGCATTAAATCCACTGACAAGTAAAGTGAATGGCATCAATCATGTCATTACAATGTAATGTTCTGCTCAGAAACCTTGGGTCCTGGCATTCATGTGAATGCTACTTTGACACATACTGTCCACTGAAACGTTGTTACAGACTAAGCAGACCCCTCACCATCTTTCCCCAGCAGGACAATGCACCCAGCCACACTACAAAAACTTTTCAGAAACAGCTTAATGAATGTGACAATGAGGCCAATGCATTACCCTGGCCTCCAAATTCCAGATCCCAATCTGATGGAGCATCCACAGGATTAGCCGGATCAAGCCAGGCTCTGGTGTCAATGTCCTACTGACAGACATCACAGGACACCCGTATACATGCATAATGACATGTGCATACTAGTGCACCTCAAAACAATTGAAAAGGTTTAATATTTTTCATCAGTTGTTCTAGAAAGTGAAAATGCAATATATACTAGTCTCATTATATGCAAAGTGAAATGTTTCAAGCCTTTTTTTTTTCTTCTTTTTTCTAATCTTATTTTGGCTGATTATAGCTTATAGCTCATAAAAATCAGAAGTCCAGTATCTCAAAATATTAAAATATTCAACATGTGGCGAGGGTGGAGAATCAAACTGCCAACTTTACAATTAGATACACTAAATGCACTTGTTGTGTGGATTTTTGTGTCATTAAAAACTGCTAATAAACCACAAATACAAATGAAACTTGTGCTGTTAAAAGGACATAAAATGGGTGCGCCACTATAGCTCACTTGGTTGAACTGGTGTCCCATGTGCAGGGCTACAGTCCCAATGTGGAGGTCATGAGTTTGAATCCCGCTCATGACACTTTCCCATGTTTTTCTTCCTCCCTATTCTTCTCTCCTACTTTCCTGTCTCTCTCTGACTAAAAACTATCCAATAAAGGCACAAAGGCCAAGAAAAAACTTTAAAAAAAAAAAAAAAAAAGGACATAAAATGATGTAAAAAGTGGCCGTCAGCTTAGGAGTTTCCTACGCACTCTACCAAATGAGCAGTGGCCAATCTGCAGGACTGCTCAGCAAATATTGTATTCTGTCTGATAATCAAGGTCCTAAAGTCTGAAGGAAGGTTGCTAGCAAAGCAACCTGGGCTTTAATAACACCTGAGCAGTGCCACAGGCTGATCACCTCCAGATCATTGCACTGATGCAGTGATTTGTGGTAAAGAAGCCCCAACCAAGTACTGATTGTATAAAAATCATCATACTTTTCAAAAGTTAAACAAATCTTTATTTGATTTTTTTTTTAACAAAAAGGACATAATCATCACAAAAAAAAGGGTTTGAAATAATTCACTTTATTTATAATGAATACAGAATATTTTAAAGTTTACCTTTTTGAATGAATTATTTGGACATAATTTGGAATGTCACACGTGTCTATGGAAGGTCTCATGGTTGATGACGTATGTCAGGATGAACCCATCATACAACAGTATATTTTTCTTTCCTACTTGCCCCTTTTTTTATGTTTTCTCTCCACGTTATAAACTGCAACACAACTGAACACCATTTTCTAGTGAATATCTTTTAAAATATGTTTACACGTTATTTGCTATTACAAAATATTTACTGATGCAGGGAATACAATAACTGGCAGCACATTGTCTCAAATAGCATATACTGTATGAGTAACAATGCAAAAGAAAAAAAAAGGGTAGCTAAAGGTCATATCAGCAGAAATGCTTATTACTCAGATAAACAATGATTAGGCCAGCAGCTGCCAGTCAGTCCCTTTTGGTATGCATGCAGGTCCTTGATTGTACTCACTGTCCCGATTGCTAATCTGACAGTGCTTGATACAAGGAACATTAACTGACAGAGTGACTGGCTGGGTTTACCTGGAGTCCCTGACCATGCGCACACAGAGAAAACCCCCTCAAAGAAGGAAAGGGTTAAAACCTATTCTGATTTTAAAGCCAGGACCTCATTAATGTGTTAACCTCGGCCTCACTTCTTCTGCCTGAACCTTCTGTGTGAACATTCAAAACAAACACTATGATGATAGAACCTTGATAACTGAGCTCAAGGCTAATTGCTCTCTCTCTCTCTCTCTCTCTCTCTCTCTCTCTCTCTCTTTCTGTGTGTGTGTGTGTGTGTGTGTGTTTGTGTGTGTGTCAACAACAGGACAGAGCTCAGAGGCAGCAGGTTACACACAACAGACACTGATTTCAAATATCATCTGAAATTGGAACTGTTGATGGCCAATGTTTAACCAGGAAGACAACAAGTAAACTCACTGTGTTCAAATACATCTACAGTCAGTAGTCATCTAACATAGGGTTGGTTGATACAACAAAAGAATAACGTCCTACAAACCACCACAACAATGGGCAAGAGCAAAAAATACTTTACCTTAAAATACAACACAAAGGTAGCTTACCACTTCCCCATGGCTATTTGAATGGCTATTCAAATATCTTTACAGTCGAATTATATCAACACTAAGCAGCATGGCAGTTCACATTTAAATAGTCAGTTCATAAAAAGTCATGTGTTTAAGAAGCAGAAATAGAAAAGCTTACCCGTGGAGGACCTCATGGAGTCCAGAGTGTGTGTCTACACCCGCTCAGACTGAGACTAGGCAGACAAGGTTCACAGCACACGCAGACAATAAAAGACTCCATCAGCAGGTGAGATGGTGACTCCTTCTGGGTTAAACATTTACTGAGTGTTAGAAAATGAGTGCTGAATGTGACACATTGTTATGGAAAAGACATCACTGTGACAATGTAGCTTGCTACAATCTTAGGATATGGGTCAGCTGTCATCACATCTGAAACCAATCAATCAAACCCAATGTTAATCAATGTCTCTAAGTATAAGTGCTACTGACATTTGGTGATTCTCTGAAAAGATCTAAAAAGGCTTCTGCCCTTTTTTAAAATGATATTCACCCACAATATTGCTTACTGCAAAAAGTGGAACTGGGTAAGTTCCAATAATAGTCAATAAGATTGGTTAAGATTTTTCTCATAATTTTAAAGTCGGATTGTCTTGCGTTGGAAAACACAAAAAACAGTTCTGCTAGTTGCTGGATATCACCAAGCTGCCCCTTACTCTGTGTTTATTTGAATTGTCAGAGCTCTTAGCTGATTTAGTGCTTCGTAAAGGCGAAGTCAGTATAGTGGGTTACTTTAATATCCATGTGGACAATGAGAATGACAATATCAACTCTACATTAAGTTAATTAAGTTCATTGTTAGACTCAGGTGGTTTTTCACAAAATGTACATAAACTAAATCACTGTTTTAACCACATCCTTGATCTTGCTTTGACATATGGCATAGAACTTGAACATCTAACTGTTTTTCAACAAAACCTTCTTTTGTCGAGTCATTTTTTTAATACCATATGATTTACAATAATGGACTACGGAGCATCTACCAAGAAATTCCATTACAGCAGATGTTTATCTGATCGAAAAACATGTTTGTTAAACCCCATCCCAACCAGACTGTTCAAGGATATTTTTTCTTTTATTATCAATCCAGTATTAGACATGATCAACCTCTCTTTATTAACAGGCTAAAAACCACAGGGGTTTTAGGGTTGCTGTAATCAAACTGCTACTCAAAGGCCTACTCTGGATCCAGGTGCTTTAGTCAACCATAGACCTATATCCAACCTCCCTTTTATCTCTAAAATTCTTGAAAAAGCTGTTGCAAGCCCATTATGGGAGCATCTGTACAGAAATGGTTTGTCTGAAGAGTTTGAAGAGTCAGGATTTAGAATGAATCATAGTACAGATACAGCACTGGTGAAAGTCAAGTTAATTCAAGTCAAATCAATTTAAATTGTATAGCGCAATTTACAACATATGTCATCACACAGCGCTTAGCATGGCAAGGTATAGACCCTACAAATTTAAACAGAGAACCCAACAATCCAAAGTTGCTTTTGGACTCCATCTGAGCAAGTGGTTGGCAACAGTGGGAAGGAACCAAATTAATCTTCACCAATTATTAAGTCACCAATAACCTTCTAATAGCCTCAGACAGTGGACTCAGACTCTTTTTA